TGCGCCCCGTTTTTTTCTGCTCTCGGCTTCTGTTAGGCAGGAGCTTGTGAAAACTCAGAAGCAGAGTGTAGCTTTGTGCCATTTTTAGTAGCAGTAAAATCTCGTAGGAAAAGGCTACTTTTTTGTGAAGCTGCGTTGTCTCGCCCTCCCTTTACCCCAAATATTTAGGAATCTTTCATCTGTCACTTAAAGCTTTACTGTGCTTTACAAAAAAACTACCTCAAACTATTCTTCCTTTTTGTGAAAAATGCAATAAACTTATTGCAGAGCTATATTGATGTTTTTGGTGAAAGCTTTAAACTTCTTTGAAGTCTCATCTCTTTGACCATAGAGAACTTCACTGAGGCAGTTGCTATGTTTTCTTCTCTACTGCTTCTACTGATTGCATTAAGAGGAGATTATTTAGGGTAAGATCAAACAGCATTAGCACATGGTGTTGTGTGACAGTTGAATGACAGTACAACTAGTTTTGTATATGGGAGAAGTGGTGCAAAATAGATATGATTGCTTAAAGTAGGAAGAATTCCTGTTAGGGAGGGGAGTTAAAATGATCACCAGTCTAGTGAGATTAATATAACCCTAAACTTCTGGAGTTGAGTGATTGTTTCTAGTATGTAAAATACAGATTTAAGTAGACAAGCACTCTTAAACCGTACCACATGTAGAGATTTCTAGTTTTCTCCTTGCTCCCAGGAGTAGCTGTTTAAAGCATTCTGTGTGCTGTTTCCTAAAAAAACCTACAAGTTAAGAGCTCATTAAAGTTTACATTGAGTAAAAAATGCCAGTCTTGTTCTGAAATTATCTGTGTTTTAATTTTCTTGTGATTGTCTGTGCTAAACTTACGTTGGTAGTTCTTGCATGGTTGTTCCAGTATTGTGACCTGTGTCACAGGTGCTAGCCTTACTGGAGCTGTTTAGGCTGCTGCCGTGAGAAACTGGTCCAGCTTTATGCATCTGCTAGGTCTTGATCTCAGGCCATCCCTTTTGAGCTCCTGTCTGTCCAACTTTTGCCAGCACTGCTGTTTGAATATCTAGGTAGATAAACTGGGCTGGAACCTGGCTGAGAACATGTTTTTCCCACTCCTTGTGAGTCTCTTCTCAGCTAGATGTGTTCCACAGTCTGGCTCATTACAGCTAGGCAGAGTTTTGGGCTTGGCACAGAGAAGGCACTTGGGTGTAGGAATGATTTAGTTTTTAAAAAATAGCCTTAGGTGAATGGGTGTTTCCTTGTTTGTGTGCTGTGTTGGCAACTAGGAGAGAAGAGATTTTCTGTTAGAATTACAGGTGACTCTCAGACCTGGTGAGAGTGAGAGAGCTGCTGTGTATAGTGCAGCATGCCTACGGAACCTTGTGCTGTATCTTTGCAGTTGACTTAGGAGGATTTGCTCACAAGTGCTTGGCTGTTCAGCAGCACTCTGAGAGTATCAATAAAGGGAAAGTGCTTCATTAAAGAAATAAACAACCTAGAAGTGTTATGGTTGCTTTCCTATTTATGAGATTTGTACAGTCTTGTACTAATAAAGCTACATTTTCAGTGTTAGGGATTAAAAACCTTGCAGACTCTTGAAAGTGTCTGCTTCCTATATACATACTCTATCAGTAGAAGTCTAGAAACAAAGGATTAGGATGTCAATTGAGTTGTAATAAAGATTTGGGAACAGTTGCTATGTAATCAAAATCTGAAAAATTAGTTGTGTTAATTTTTTATGTCTTTTTTTTTTTGAGCATTCTGTGTAGGTGGGAAACTTCAAGCCATACTCAGAAGTTGAACTCATAAATGAACAGTGTGTATTTTGGGGCTTTCAAGACTCAAAAGCTCTACCAAATTGCAGTAACAAGTCATGACAAAAATAGGTCATACTCAGTAACTCCTCTGCACTCTCAGAGTTTTGCAAGATATACAAAAAGTTGCTAGGTCAAGCTGGGCTCCCTGGCCTCCCTTCTGAAGTAACTTTTATTTAGTACATAGAGTATATGTGGTTTTGGGGAGGCAGCCAGTTAAGACTGTAGCTTGAGAGTTAGTTTGGCTTGGCTGGGTTGTTGGTTTGAGAGTTCAAGCTTTGGAGGTTTTGAGGTAGCTTTTAATGAGCCTGCTTATAGCAAGAGCCTTGGGAGCCTAGAGGTAGGTGACACCTGAGTAGCTGTTGATTTGGAGATGACAATTTAGTGGTGTTCCTTTTTGGCTCTAGCTGTATATTTACAAAATGTCTGTTTATTTTAAAGTCCTTATTCAGTTGTTCACAGCGGCAAGGAGAAGATCTCTAAAGAGACTTTTCTTGAAGCAGATTCTAGAATTAAGCAAGCTCATAAACCTTAGCTTGTATTGGTATAGATACATACAAAGCCCAACAACAACTTCTTTCCAAAACTGAATTAGAGTTGGAATTTCACATATGAGTTGAGCAATAGGTTTGATTTATTTTAGGAAATTACCCCACATGTATTCAATTCAGGGTTGAACCTGGTTCTCTTAAGTGATTAATGTGTGTGAGGAGGTAGTTACGTTTTTTTAAAAGTAGGTGTATAATTAGCTTAGGCTATTACAAGGTTTTTATGTGAAATTTATGTAATTCTGTAGTGTAAAAACAGCTGAATACGTTTTAGTACTTTTCCAGTTTAACTGCTCAGTAACTTTATTCTTTCTGTGTAAAAAGTTTGAACAGGGCTTTTTTTCAGGACAGCACATGGCTAAGGTTCTGAAACTTAATGCTAACTAATTTTTCCCATCATATCCTTTCCTTCCAGTCTCCATCTGTGGCTTAGGTTGTCTGGCTTCTCATAAGCTTTCAAAGCTAGCCTGTATAAAAGGTGTTTACAAGAAAGTTCTGAAGCTTTTCCTCCCTTGACCTCCTCCTCCCCAGCTAACTGCAAGTATTTAGATTAGCCCCACTGACCCTTAAAAAGCACTTTCTTCAATGAATATTAACTTCGTGGAATTTTTTTTCCTGTATAACCTGCTTCAGGCTATTTGTGGTCCCACAAGCACTTCTGTCAGTGGTTGAAAGGAGAGGGACTCAACCTGCTTAAATGCATGTACTCTGAAGCAGAAGAATGTCCTCTGCTGCTTCTGCTGTAGCTCTCCTTGCTCTTCCCCCCCGACAGGATCTAGATTGCAGTGTGGCCACAGAGGGTGTAACAGTCCCTCTGTAAACCTGGGATAATGACCAGCTGGTGGGTGTCATGGAAGCTGGCAGAATTCTGTCTTTCTCTGTGTCTTCCCTCTTGAATGCCTGAAACAGCTTGATGTGTCACATCCTCAGGTGAAGGATAATACACCCCTGCAAGAAAAAATCCCAGCCCTTTGGTGGTTTTGATTCAAGCACATCGATTGATTTGCATTCCAGGTTGCTCTGGATTTATTTTTGGAGGGTCAAGTTAAAAAAACAAACCAACCAAGACCAACAACGAACAAAACCAAAACACCAAAAGTGGAATGGGAGAGAACCCAGCATGTGAAACAGGGTGGAACAATTGCTTTCCACTGGCTTTTTAGTTCCAGCGTAATTAAGAATATCTGAGTTGTATCAGAGTAATCTGGACCCCCTGGGCCAGTGTATGATAGGTCTGCCACTAGTGACTGGCATCTAAATGGTTTGTGAAGCTGTAGCAGCTTTCTGCTCATGGAGCTTGGTCTGAGCTGGCATGAGGTAGTGCTCCAAGGCTTTCTTTAGTTCTGTATTAAAGGGTTTGTACTGAAATATCTTGTTTGCCTTTATAACATTATAATGTCAGCTGCATTATAAATGTGATGCCCTACTCAGTCCTGGCTCGTTTCTGCTTTATGATGCAACATGAAAAGTATCTTTAGGTTGGGCTGGGGGGCTGTGTAGGCAGTGTTCTCATTGCAGTTATTGCCAGCCACTGGCACTTGAGAGCCAGTATGGACTTACAGTAATGGAAAAAGTGATAAAATTCTGTGTTCACTTGTGTTGTGGAAGAGGAAGCCAAATTCTTCAACTTCTCTATATGAGCATATATATATTTATATTTTGGTCTCCTTTCTAGTGTAGTCAATCTTTTTTCTTTTCCCAATCTTCTCACAGGAGAGTCTTTACTTCCTACTAATCATATTTCTGCAGCTTCTCAAAACAATTATTTTGGACAGAATTGACAGGTTATCTGTTCTAGCGGTTCACAGTTGCTGCTGGTTTGTTCTTTCTACTAGACAATATTCATTATTAAGGCTTTTTATGGTATTTTTGATTCCAGCTGGGTGAGCAAGCATAATTCTCCCAGAACTATATGTATTGACAGAACTTTGGTGTGGGATCATTTATCTGATTACTTTTGTTTATGGTTAACTGTAGTTGCTGTTGTGTTGTGAATGGACTTGGCTGAAAAGTCCCTGTCTGAATCTCCTTCTTGATACGCTTGCAAATCTGTTGTATTATCTGTTGTGGTCTCTTAGAGACAGCAGATGTATGCTGCTTTCTCCTGATACTTCATGCAGAATTGTTCCACTAGAGGAACTGTCATTGTAGAAGTTGGTTCAGAGCCTCAGAAAAGGAGAAAAAGGTCTCTTGCTCAGACTGCTATCAGATGTTGTGGTAGGAAGGACTGGGAGCTGAACTAGCATCTGAAATGTGTTCTGCTGCTTCTCTTCTTACTTGCCCAGCCTGTTAGCTGCTGTATTCCCAGTGGGTCCCGAGCAGTGAAGGCTTCTCCCCATGCCCAGTGTGCACAGGCACTTGCATGCGTGCTCTTCTGAGAGCTTCTTGGTAGGTGTTCCTTCCTGGAACAAGAAGGAAAGAAGATGGCATAGTGGAGAGTTCTTAAAAATAATTTATACCTAAGCTAATGACTTCATATCTAGAGCTTCTGAATTGGTTTTGTTTACTGTTTGTTGGGTGTGTGTTTGAGGGAGGGCAGATCTTTAAAACCTTTCATCTGGTTGATGGGGGAATAGAAGGATATGGAAGAGTTTCTTTGAGGTCAGTATGCCAACTGTTTTTATCTTCAGTGCTGTAGCAAGAAAAATCTAACTCCCTCTTTCTTCTGTAGTGTGAAACACTGTGTTCAAGATGGTGCCTTATAACTTCACATAAACTGTATTCATCTTTGTATGATCCAAATGAAAAGGTAAGTAGTATGGTGCATGTTTTTTCTTTAACATTTTACGGTGCCACTGACATTTGCCTTTTAAAGATACCCTCTCCCCTCTGCTGCCACTGACAATGGCAGTTCTCCTGGTGTAACCCGTGTACAGGCACTGGCTTAATACCATGTTTTTCTTCCTTGTTAAAACAAAAAAAAAAAAAAAAAAAGGAAATTACTTCTGCAGTATACTTGTCAAGATTGGGTGCTACCAGTGCATATCTTATAAGGTTGGATGAGGGATTATGAGCTTGGGAAAGTGACACACTGGCCTCAACATGTTATAATTGTGAAATAGCTATTAATTATTTGCATGGTGTGGGAGGTGTAAGCCTGTTAAAACATCTGGAAGATACAGTAGCCAAAGGCTTCTCACAGAAACAAAAGCATGCAACAGTGACAGCATGATTGTTAGATGACCTGGACACAGGGATGAGAGCTTTAGAACTTGGAAAAAAAGGTGAGCCTTTAAGGCATGCAGAGAATAGTAAATCCTCATCCTGGGGCTTGTGTGGTAGCAATCTCAATTTATAGTTATGTGCCAAGAAAAACTTCTTGTGGAAGATTGTTCTGGCACGGCCTCTAAAGTAACACAGTTGGCAGAACATGGCTGCAGGTCTGCTGGTGTTGAAGGCCAGGAATGCTCACAGTTCAGGACTGGTAGGCTTGCTCTTATGTATCAGTTGAGAAGCAATTAACTAGGAGTGATACAGTATGAGAAAACTGGGAAACCCAGTATGCACCTACAACTGTGGTGCAAAGTCTTCTGGAGAAACTTAAATTGCTAAGGTCCTTGCTTAATCAAGGTCCCCTTCCTTTTCTAAAGGCATAGTTAAGTTTAGACAGTGTAATTGGGATTCTATTAGCTAGGAGCTCTGTCATTCCAACCCGTGGCTGCCACCACAAGTAGTTTGAACTCTTTTCTGCTTTTTCCATTCACTGCCCCTTCCATTGTCTGCTTAATGACAAGATTTTCATAGGAGACCGTTTGAAGCTAATTAGTGGAAATTACATAAAGAAATGCTGTGTTTCTTCAAAGCAGCATGTAAATTTTTTTTTTTTATGCTGGACTTGAAACCTGTCATTAGCAGGAAGAGCAAGAGTCTGGTCTCTTCCCGTTAGTGTCTTTATTGCAGAAATAGAAAACTAATATGAATGTCCAATATTCTTAACATTTTTATACTAAGAGGCTTGTCTTGCACTGTGACCTTGCTTGATTACTGAAACAACTCTTATATATCAAGAACTAAGGTGATGAAGTATTTGAGTCATTAAACTTTTCAATGCCAAGTATTTTGGAGCTTTTTTAAATCTCCCATCAAGTCTGGATGCCTAAAAATCTTCGGGTACCTAGAATGCTGAAATTTAAATTCAGGAACAGGTTGTGTGAGCAGGTTGGAATACTTGCAGGTTCTTTTCACTGTTTTAGACCAGGTCCCTAGCTAAAAAAGCTCTCTGAACAAGTTGCTAGTCCCTGTGGTGTTCAGTATTTGTCTGATAACTAAGCTTGCTTACGGATGTTTAAGATGAGTCCTTTGGGAGGGGTGTAGCTGTACTGGTGTGTTAGGCAGTGGTGTGCATTCCTTGGCTGATCTGGATGAATTGACCATATAAGCTTGCTGCCACAACTCTTACCTGAAGGGTTTTATCACTGAATTTGTTTGTTATCACATGGTAGTGTTTTTAAATGGTCATGTGATGCCAGCTCAGCCCTGACTTTGAAGAAGTAAATTTGATCAAGGGCACCTTGTGTATACTGGTGTGGAGCAGGGGAGAAAACAATATGTACCTTAGCCTGTCAGTAGCAGTTCCTTTTGGGGTTTTGTAGTGTTCCTTCCTGTCCCCTTAATTTGGGAGGGAAAGACATGTTTAACTAGTGACTTTGGGGTAACAAACAGCTTCAGAGCTGCAGTGGCAATCCTTTCTCTGCTCCCAGTCCCTGTGAAAGTGGCTGTTTGGAGTAGGGAAGGGAGAAAAGCATCAAGTATCTGTGGGTGTAGTTTGCTAAATCTAATCTGGTATGACTGCAGGCTGCCCCTCAAGGGGAGAGTTCTGCTGGTTCTCTGTCCTGGCTTTTGATTTGGAGCATGGGAGGCAGAGTAGGACTGTTCAATTACAGTGTTGAACTGATGCATCCTGCAGCTGCATCCCTGCTACGTCTGGTGCATGGAAGGTGGTGGGGGTAAGTGTGTAGAGCAGGACTGACCCTTTTAGGATTTTGTATTTACAGCCAGGCAGGTGGTATCAGTGTACCTGTGTGTTCAGCAGCAAGGCCAGGGACAGCAAAAAGAGATTTTTATGCTAAGCCACTCTCTTCCTCCCCTGCTTTTTCTTAATGGGTAGTTTGTCTGGGGTGTAAGGCTTCCTGACTTCTGACAGTGTATCCCCTTCTTACAGCCATGACAGGATTATTGAAGGCATGCTTACAGCACTAAGTACAATCCAGAGTGAAAGGTGGCAATGAATTTCAGGGGTGTGCTACGTTTGACTTGCTGTTCTGCTGCACTTTGTCAACAATAATAATGTCAATAATAAAAGTCATTATTGACTGTGTAACAGTGTCATGAAGGCCATGCAGGATTTTGCCCAGTTCCTGGCCTGAGGCTCAGCTACAGGGAGAGGCAAGGCTGGTACAACTCAGCTTGTGCAGGGTGGAAGTGTTGGTCTTTAACCTCCATGCACTGGGCAGAGAGGAACCTCTCATCCTTATGATTGGAATGTCTTTTAGAGATTTTCTGTGATGAATGAACATTGTATTCCAGGGCATCTGTGCTGGTTAGAGGTACTGACTGCTGTACCTGCCAGCATGTCTCTTCCTTGCACTTGAGTGACTCCTAGAGCCTCTGTAGAGTTCTATTTTCTCCACAGTGTGTGGTAAGGAGATCCGGGGAGTGCTGGTGTGGACAGTCAACACTGTTTTCTTCTGACCTTGTGTACATACTAGGTAGACATAGTACAGCTTACTGTTTATGCTAATCATCATTCTTAAATTGGCAGAACCCTTTTAAAAGTAGATCTCAGAGTTACAACCTTATGGATAAACCAGGTTGCTAGTGGAAGTGGAGGAGAAAATGCATGTTTCTGGAGGGACAAAATCTTGTGTCTCAAGATTCTTATAATTCTTTTTCCCTTCAGACTTTTGAAAAACTCCTTATTGCCAACAGAGGAGAGATTGCATGCAGAGTAAGTATGTAATATTTTAACTTCTTGTAGTTAATTTTTAAGCTATTGGCATTTTAAATATTGATAATTGTCACTTCTTGTATTGTAGGTCATCAAAACATGTAAGAAGATGGGAATTAAAACAGTTGCCATACACAGTGATGTTGATGCCAATGCTGTAAGTACTACTTGAATTCAAATGGTAGATGGGATTCTTAGTAACTCAACAAGGCTTGCAACTCCTATGCAGGCTTGTTGATTACTGTGATGAGCAGTTTGAGTCTGAACTATCTTCATACCTTTTCCTTCATGTGGTTGAAATGGGGCCAAGGGGAGTGGGGGAGGTTTGGACAAGTATTTAGCATGCTTCTTTGTTTTGCTTGTGTAAATATTAATTTGGTGTTGCCCTGCATTAAGCTAGACAGTAACACCTGGTTAATAGATGCACCAAGTGCAGGAGTGAAAGCAAACCCTAAATTTTGTTTTGCTAATGTACATGACAAAAGGCAATGCAAAGTGGATCATAGGAGGTGGTGTAGAACTTGCTATAAATTGTTCCTTTGCCTGGTAAATCCAACTCATTGCTTCCCACTTATCAGAGGAATGACCTGTCTTACTATGTGTGCTGAACATGCTGCTGGTGCTGTTGCATTTGAGGACATCAAGGAGCCTTGAATATTCAGCTCTGTGTAGGGAGGGGGTAAAATGGCTGTCTAGGTAAGGAAGGTGCTTGTCTAGCTGCTCTCCCATTTCAGATTTTGTAGTTTTTTCCTGGCTTTATTTTTAAAATATTTTAAGTCACTTGTAGTAAGAATAAGAAGACAATTTCCTTTGGGATATAGTGTAGTCATACTTGCATATCCACATTAACAAGAGGACATCATCCTGTTTCTTGCCTGCAAGAACTGCTAGAGGGGAAAGGAATGGGGGTGCCCTCATGTCCCAGGGTAGTTTGTTGAGATCTGGAAGGGAGTTAAAACCCTGCGTTATGGTTTAATAGAAGAGGTTCCTCAGACTAACCATCAGGAAAGTCTTTTATTCAGGACAGGACTTGTGAATACAGGTGGTGGATTGCTCAACATGGAGAAACTGAAGCATGGTTGATGGACTCTGTGGCAGTAGTTAGAATTCAGGTGTTTTCAGAGTTAAGTCAAAGGTGTGAATTGTTGGGAATTTTGGACATTGATAGTGTTTTTGTCAGTCCTTTTTGTAGTTCTATTCCTACGTAAATGGTTTGAGTTTGAAGAGAACTTCAAGATCATCTAGTTCCAACCCCCATGCCATGGGCAGGGACACCTCCCATTGGACCAGGTTGCTCTGGGCCATATCCAGCCTAGTCTTGAACAACACATCCAGTGCTGGGACAGCTACAACATCCCTGGGCAACCTGTTCCAGTGTCTCACCACCCTCATAGTGATGAACTTCTTCCTCTTCTTTATCTGGTAGCTGTAACCACCAGATAACTGCCAGGGAGTGTGTAGACACTTGTGGATGCTCAGTTGACTGTGAAATGAATCCTTAATGGATGGGTGTCAGACAACATCATAAATTCTAATTTTTTTGGAAGCCAAGGGTTAAGTGGGTAAGAATACAAGTTACTCTGGATGATCAATGATCCCTCTAGTAAAGCTGAAGTGTGCCAATGAGTACCTGTATTCCATCTTATGGAATATGGTATCTGCTGTTAGGATAAATGGATTTGCTGTTCAGTAGCACTTCATAGCCTTGTTCACCAGCAAGAATTTGTTCTGAAAATAGACCAAAAAAAAAGCTGTTTAAAATACCCATGTTTTTTCACTCTGTCATAGACTTGGGAAAATGGATTGGTCTTCTCTCCATATGTATGGATGGCTTTGTTTATTGTGTGGACTCTACTATGAGCTGGAGAGTATGAAAAAAAAAATGAAAATAGCAAGTAAAAACCAAGACTGAAGAAATAATGATAAACAAGAATAACAGGAAAAAGTACAACTTAGGACCTTAGGGAAAGGAGTATGAAGTGCATTACAAAGAGGACACTGAAAATATCTGCTCTGCTTCCATTTACAGTGGTGTCTTAGCTTTAAAATACAAATGTGGTCTTCAATTTGTAATACTTCTTAAGAGAAATGAAATCCAAGCTGGTATCTCTGAAGTGCATTAATATAATTGTAACAGTTCATAAAGATAACATGAAGTGTGTTAAATGAGACACTGCTATTTTGAATTCATGGACTGGAAGCTCAAAGAAGTGCTGTAAGTTGAAATAATCTGTTTAGGTCTTTGGATCCTTACTTAAGGAGCAATCAAAACTATCTGGACAAGATTAAGCATTAATTGTGTGCATTGAAGAGTCACTGCCTTGGGTGCTTGCACTGGGAAGTAGTTTAACATTAGTTGTCTGTCTTAACAGCTTGGCTACTTCCAGTTATTGTTTGTGGGAAGGACCTGGCCCTTCCAGTGATGTGTGAGACTGCCAATTTAGATGGTCTCATTAGATTCCAGAGGGCAAATTCTTCTGTTGTGTTACTTATCATAAAATAATATATGATGTTTGCCCAGTGTTGTTCATTTGTGTTCAGGTTCCATCAGCAGCTACCTTCTTGGTTATATCAGTGGTAGCAAAATCTCAAGCACTTTGCAGTCAAACTTAGGAGCTGGTGCAGCCTGCCAGGGGAACCTCTGTCCTCCTGTAGCTAGGAGAAACCTCTTTGCTCAGTGGTGGGATCCTGTGAAAAGGAGGTAAACGTCCTTTTGATTTTTGTGCTTGACAGGATTAAGCAAGGACATCTTACTCCTGTAAGACTTGTATTGCAAAGACTGTAAATATTCTAGGCAGTTACCTGATGATAGTCATTGAACCAAAGGCAGAAATAAATGTAAAGGTACACAGCTGAGTAGTTGTCCATGCCAAAGCTGTTGGTCTTAAAATAATGAGACTTGGTTTTAAATGACTGGAGTAACAAAATTTTCTTTAGTGTTCAGAAAAAATATTAATTGGAGAAGGTAAAGTTTATTTAAAACTTGAAGCAACCTTTGAGATGTGCTAATAGCCCCTTACTACATTACCTGTGTAGCTAGTTGCTGAAATATGGGTAGTCTGATACTCATGACATTAATTCATTTTTACAAGTAAATGGAGTGCAAACCGGACACTCTGTTTCTGTGCCTGGCTTTCCTTTATCACACAGGTTGCAAACAACTGAAACTGAACTGAATGAGCACTCCTTGAGTGTGCTCACTAGATACTTCAGAGGAAAGAAAATAACCACAAAGTAGCTAGCAATTCAGGCTCTTCTGGCTTCTAGTTTAATCCCCATCCAGTGTCCTATGCATAAAATGACCCAAGCAGGCATTTTCACTGGTGTTTGGATGGGAATGGTATAACATAATCTTAAAATCACTGGTCTTTGAATAAAGATACTCTAAGATTCATTAGTGAATAATCTTATTCTAGAACTTCATTTTTTATTTTTTTTTTGGATAGTCAACTTTTCTTTCACTTAAAAAATATTAAAATCTCTGAATTCCTTGTGAAGTTTATAGTGCTGAATGGAGGTGGTTGAAGTAGCTGAAATACATAAGGACCTTCAATGAAACTACTTAATTTTTCTTGTTCAGACTTAATCCGTGGAATGCAGTAGCAAATGTCTTGAGTATGCTGTTAGAGCAATATTCATTGACATACTAATTTTACATATTAATGAAAGGTAACTAGACTAACAGTACAAAGGAATTTTCAATTCAAGAAATTAAAACTTCACTGAGTGTTATGAGCAGGAAGTGGTAGAAAGGACTGTTATAAATTGAGAATGTGGCAAAAATTGAACAACCTACTGAGAGCCATATAAATCTTACCTGAAGAAGGAAAATACAAAGAACAAAACTTAATTTAAAAAATGGCCAAAGGACTTCTATAGGTTAAATTGAAGGTGACAGGGAGGGAATGCTAACAGAGCTTGAAAGGAGGTGTGTGACTGCAGAGACTTTTTAGATGCTTGTGTATTAATGCAAAGTTACAGGTAGGTGGAAATGGTATTAAATGGGATTTAGATTAGTTACCTTTGCAGAGATGGGTGGAGATGTGAATTGGGGGGGGGAAAAAGGGGATGATGTCCTAAGTTATTTATGCAGTGGAAGAGAAGTTGCTGCTTTAACTGTCCTGAAATAAAATCAGTGTGGTGGTTGAGGAAAAGAAGCATGACAAAGTGTCTTCTGAGACCTCCCATGGAGCATACAATTGCTTATGTGGTACTGAGTATGTCAAGAAAAGTAGGTCATAATGGATGCTTTTTAGGGTCTTGAAAGTCCTGGCTAATACTCTTTATTGCATCTGTTATTTTGGGGAAAGTGGAGGAAATAAATTGTATACTGTTCAAAATGCTGATTTATTTTTTTTAACTTTAGAGTTAAGTTTGTAAGACACTTAATTCTTTACACTTGGATAGGTAAACTGGGGAAGGACCAGTAGAATTTGGATTTTTTTTTTTTAAATTAAAACATCTGTTGGAATTATTTTTGGGATGAGAAAACAAGCAAAGAAGTTTTGGGTGAACCAGAGTAATCGTATGTACTTTTTCCCCCTGAACTGATTGGAATAGAGGGTTAAGATGAAAGAGCCTCCTCAACCATAAATGTAACACTGATGGTGCAAACATTGTCAAGGAAAGCTAGAGAACTATTGTAATGCCTAATGTAATCAGCTAAAAGTATGATAAATGAAGAACAAGCTTTCGCTAATTGGATCAGAACAAAAGAAGGTATAGCATAAAGCAGTGAATGAGATATAATTTTATTTGGCATTTTTTAACACAGCAGGGATTCTATAGCCATATGAAGCAATGAACTATAAATGACTGAGAAAATCCCATGGGAAAGTAATGTAAACTACTAAAACCTTACAGAGTAATCAGCAGTTACACTTTAACATAGTTCCTTTTCTGTCATTCACTTAAGACTTCAGGTGTTGTTGTGTTAAATTGTCTTAAGCATAGACATGTCCAAACGTTTTTAGCTGTGTGGATCATAATCTTGTTCTGCTGGATAATATAAAATTAAAAATTATTCAAATGCTTGTGTTGATGTAAAAGTGATTGCACAGAATTCAGCTGTTCTTAAGAAACTAGAGTCTCCTGAGTGACAGAAAACAGCAAAAATTCAAATGACTTAGGAAAGGAATATAGATATTCCATTTCCAA